TTATAGGAGGAGATTTTAACGGCCACAATGGGAGGTCGTCTAAGGGTACGGTGGTGTGCCTGGTGGCTTCGGTTTTAGAGATATAAACAAAGGAGGTACTTGTTGGAGTGCGCTAAGGCTTTTGATACAGTGATTGCTAATTCGTGTTTCCCGAAGAAAGCGGAGCACCTGATCAACTTCTGTAGTACAATGGACAAGACCCAAATTGATTATCTACTCCTCAAGAAATGTGATAGAGGATTATGCACGGATTGCAAGGTCATCCCGAGTGAGAATCTTACGACCCAGCATAAGCTTTTAGTTATGGACTTAGTGATCAGGTGGATGAGGAAAAGGAGGGTTATGGATTGTCTACATAGGGTCAGGTGGGGGGCATTGACTAAGGGCAAAGCCCAGTAGTTTGGGGAGAAGTTGCTAGATATGGGGGCCTAAAGGAGCAGTGGGGATTCGAGCTCTATGTGGACTATGACAGCAAATTGTATTAGAGATGTGCTAGGGATTTTAAAGGGTTGCTCTGGTGGCCACAAAGAGGACTAGTGGTGGAATGAAGAGGTTCAAGGGAAAGTGGAAGCTAAGAAAACAGTGCACTTGAAGCTAGTAGAGAGCATAGACGAAGGGGAGAATAGGTCTAACAAAGAGTGGTATAAGAAGTCTAAGAGAGAGGTGAAGTTAGCAGTTACTACAGCTAAGTCCGTGACATTTGGTCGTTTATATGAAGAACTTGGGGATAAAGGCAGGGACAAGAAGTTGTACAGGCTAGCGAGGGTGAGAGAGAGGAAGACCATGATTTGGACCAAGTGAGGTGTATAAAAGATCAGGAGGGTAGAGTTTTGTTGGAGGAGGCATATATTAGGTAGAGATGACAGTCATACTTCAATAAACTCTTCAATGAAGAGGGAGATAGGAGCATTGTGCTGGATAAGTTGGAGTACTCAGAGCGACATCGAGATTTTGGGTATTGTAGATGCATAAGAGTAGGAGAGGTAGAATGGGATATCCGTAGGATGAGTAGGGGTAGAGCGACCGGTCCAGACGAGATCCCTGTGGAATTCTGGAAGATCATGGGTAAAGCGAGCTTGGAATGTCTATCTAGGTTGTTTAACGTTATTTTTAGGACGAAAAAGATGCCTGAAGAGTGGAGGTGCAATATAATGGTTCCGTTGTACAAGAACAAGGGAGATATCCAAAACTGCAACAACTATAGGGTATCAAGTTGCTGATCTATACGATGAAAGTTTAAGAGAGGGTGATAGAAGGGAGGATGAGGAGAAACATATCCATTTTCGAGAAACAGTATGGTTTCATGCCGGGACGGTTGACTATTGAAGCCATTCACCTTGTGAGGAGATTGGTAGAGCAGTATAGGGTGATGAAGAAGGACTTGCATATAATGTTCATTGACCTAGAGAAAGCTTACAACAAAGTCCCGAGAGAGGTTCTATGGAGATGATTGAAGGCTAAGGGAGTGCATGTAGCGGATATTCAAGTAATCCAGGACATGTATGATGGGGTTGCATCAATGATCAACACTTAGCCTGTTTTTGTTTTCCTTGGCAATGGACACATTAACGCGACACTTCCAAGTGAAGGTGCCTAGGTGCATGTTATTTGCAAATGACATAGTTCTGATTGATGAGACGTGCGGTGGTGTTAACGAGAGGCTGGAGGTTTGGAGATATACTCTTGAGTCTAAAGATTCCAAGTTGAGCAGGACCAAGACAAAATACTTGGAGTGCAAATTCAGCGGTGTTACCCAGGAAGCGGACGGGGATGTGAGGCTTGAGATGCAAGTCATTCCCAAGAGAGAAAGTTTTAAGTACATTGGGTTTGTGATTTAGTGTGATAGGGAGATTGATGAGGATGTCACACATCATATCAGAGCAGGATGGATGAAGTGGAGGCTCGCTCCCGGTGTCTTGTGCGATAAGAATTTGCCGTTGAGACTTAAAGATAAGTTCTACAACGTAGTGGTTAGACCGATTATGTTGTATGGGGAAGAGTGATGGCCAGTTAAGAACTCCCATGTCCAGCAGATGAAAGTAGCTGAAATGAGGATGTTGAGATGGATGTATGGGCACACAAGGATTAGATAGAATTAGGAATGAAGTTATTCGGGACAAGATGGGAGTGACCCCTGTGGAGGAAAAGATGCGAGAGGCGAGCCTGAGATGGTTCGGGCATGTTAGGAGGAGAAGCACAGATGCCCCGGTTAGGAGGTATGAGAGGTTGGCCTTGGGGGATAAGAGGAAGGGTAGAAGTAGGCCAAAGAAGTCTTGGGGAGAGGTGATCAGGCGGGACATGGCGCAGCTTGAGCTAACTGAGGACATGACCCTCGATAGGAGGGTGTGGAGGTTAAGAATTAGGGTAGAAGGTTAGTAGGTAGTTGAGCGTTTCCCTTTGTCTTCCTTAGTTCAATAGTATTAGTGTTAGTATGGTATCCTTTTTACCCTTAATTTGCTATTTCCACATATCTTGTATTGTTATTACTTGCGATTAGTACTCCCTTAGTTTGCTATTACTATATATCCTACACTGTTATCACTTGCTATCAATACTTCTTTCATCTTCTCCTGTGTTATTTTGAACTTAGTTTTCTAAATATATTGTATTGTTATTACTTGCTATCAGTGCTTCTTCCATTTTTTCTTTAGCCGAGAGTCTTTCGAAAACAGTCTCCCTGCCCCTCCAGGGTATGGGTAAGGCTGCATACATCCTACCCTTCCCAGACCTCACTTGTGGGAATCCATTATGTTGTTGTTGTTGTTGTTGTTGTATAGAAATGACTCCTAAACCAAAAGGAGAAAATTACATTATAATATAACACACTAATATACATTGCTACCGGATGACTCATATACAACTTTACAAAGTTAATGCCGAAAAATAATAGGCCGAGATTTAACATCCAACCCAAATAGGTTCCGGAAATAGCTATTTAGGTTTTTTTTTTAAATCTCAACCTCCTAACCCAATCTTTGAATCAGCAATCATGACTCAAACATTAGTCAACAAACCAAATCCATTTGAGGGGTGAAAATTAGATTCTACGGCAAAGGGCCAAATATACCCCTGTGCTTTCGAAAATTGTTTAAGAATACCCCTCGTTATCTATTGGGCTATATATGTCTCTGTTGTCATACTTTGAAACAAAAATACCCTTATTTTGGATGGAGTGTCACGTGACAACACCAGATTAAAATGATCAATTTCTATTTTTACCCGTTCCATTTAAAAAAAAACCCACCACCTGACCCAAATTTCATCCCACTTAAAATACAAAAAGAAGATCCATTTTACCGTACCACCTCCGTTGAAACATAAAGAAGCCCTCACTTACATAATTTATTAAAACTACATCATACAGGACATAATTTTGTATCTTCTTTGTTTTACCTATTAACTCGTTTTTCAGTTCACTAAAACCAACACAAAATAGTTAGAACTATAACTAAAATACTGCAGAACACAATTCAAACAAGGCTGCATATTTCAGTGCATTGAACCCCATAAAGGTACACAAAAACCAGCAGAAAACAAGTCCAAAACTAAGAAAAAACCTGCAGCAAACAGACAGGTAAAAAATGGATCTTCTTTCTATTTCAACGGTCAGGGCTTCTTTCTGTTTCAACAGAGGGGTAAAGTAAAATGGGACGTTTTTATATTCAGTTGTAGTTTAGGTGGGGTGAAATTTGGGTCGGGTGATGGGTTCTTTTAAATGGACTGGGTAAAAAAAGAAATGGGTCCTTTTAATCTGGTACTGCAACGTGACACTCCATCCAAAATAAGGGTATTTTTATTTTAAAGTATGGCGGCAAAGACATATATAGCCCAATAGCATAGCGAGGGCTATTCTAAAACCATTTTCGAAAGTACAAGGGTATATTTGACCCTTTACCGTAGATTTTAAAGGTAATCCACCATTGTTGAATAAGCTTAAATAAGTGGGTTTAAATTTTGAATCCGATTTTTTGAGAAATTTAGAGCGAGTATTATTTAGACTTGTTAGAAATAGTCTAAAGTGATTTAAACTAAATTAGAATAAGAATTGTAACTTAAAATCATACAAGAATTTGTCTTGAGACACTTTTATACACGGCAATTACATTATGTATATGGGTGTATAAACGTGTATAAAAATGTATGAGTACAGTAATAAAAAGTATGATGGTGACACACTAAGAAGGAGGAGAAAGAGGAGAAGAAACCAAACAATGGAAGTTCAAGTTAAGAAATATTCATGTGGTTGATACTGTTTTATTTCGCAATCGAGACTCGAGAGTATCCACCTATCTCATTTATTCTAACCTCTAATTCTCTATATGAATTATCTTTTTTTTTGTCAATCCCATCCACCCAAAATTCTTCCCCAAAATGGGTGTAAATAGTTAATCCCTTATACACAAGTACACAACCTAAGCAAGAGTATAATAAGCTGAATATTAAAAATAGCTTCCTATTCTCTCACTTGCTGCCAGTGAAATCAGCATTTGATAACGTCTCCATCGAGTCCCAACCCTGATGCTAATTCTAAGTCTCCATCTTAATGTTGGTTTAAGGGATGAAAAATATTTAAGTTATATACAAAGTAGGTCAAATTGAATAAAAAAAAGGTAGAATACGAGCCTAATTTGGTTGAAATGATGCATCAGCTGATAGCGTAATTTTTTCAACCGAAAATTAGATGCTCTACCTTTATACTGAGATCCCGTCACTCTTGTTGGATCTAAAAGAGTACAAGAAAAGCTAGAAAAAAGAGACTGAATAAAGATCTTTTGCGCTATACAAAATCACTGAGAACAAGAGAATTGAATGTTAAAAGAACGTATGGAGCCAAATATAGCTTATAACGTAAAAAAAGCATAAAGGGACAATAACTCACATGTGACCATGTTGCATATTATGGGTCCGAAAATTTTACTTTTCGAAAGTTAAAGAATATCTTGAAAGGGACTAGAATGAAAAGCATTCCTTTGTTGCTCGAGGAGTAATAGACATTTATCTTCTACAAAAAAAATAAACATTGAATATAAAAGAGAGAATGGAGGACCATTTTAATGGGAGTTCGAACAGAGGAGTACCTTAGAACAGACGTATTTTCTCTGTCACAATAAACAAGGGTAGCATAATAGGAACTATGCGTACAAAAGAATTATGTTATTTAAGAATAAGGGCCAGTATTAACAGATTTTTCAAAAAAACATAGCTGAGCGACCATGATTCAGCTTGTAACTAGCGCAAATGGCAGATCAACAAGTAAAATTTTCTTATGGACAATTCCTGGTCGAATCTACCTAAAGAATTTCTGATTCTAGTCAGCGACAACGTTCCTCCATTAGTCCCATCACAGACCTCCAGCACTCTCCACCACTCCAAGCTGCAATTTAGAACCGGAAAGAAGGCATTTAGTAAATTGTTAACATTATCACTACAAGCATATGATATTGGTTCAAGTGCTTGGAAACCTTTAGATGGCTGCTCAATCCAAGGACCATTCATTACAGTCAAAATGCTGCATGCTTCGCTGTATTCCAGATTAGGGAGCAACTTTGGAGTAAGCAAAAAGCACCTGCGCAGGAATTGACAGAATCAGAAATAGGTGGACGAGGACTAGTTCCATCAACTTCTCCATGATATGCAGGAAGGGGATTGGCAGAACAAGGAATGGCTACCTAGACAAAGAATACTCATGTAAAGAAATCAAAACTGCATATGGATATGCTCCCTCTGATAGAGTAGTTGACAGTTCGAGAGTCACGGAAAATATGTCATCCATAAAAATAAATATTTGACATTTCTCAGCGTAGAAGGGTAAAAACAAATGGATCCCTCGTCTTTATATGTGTGTTCTTGCCGCAGAAGCTTGGTGATCAGAGGTATCTATGCACTCTGATAGCACTTGCAAAGGAATCTCTCTCGAGGGGCTAGCCATTATATTACATTTACTCTAGCTGATACTCGTCAGTTTTCAGCATAACTTTGTTACATGCGCATTGGGATGACCACTGTCACCAATCAGATCCTAGAATCAACTCAACAGGGGAATTAGATCTGCAGCCCTAGTACAACATCATGAGGAAAATCTGATTGAGGATACTTTTCAAGTTTAACAGGGGCATCTGCATGGTGGGAAGTGAGGTGCAGCTATCCAAATACTGACGAATTTATTCGGATTTCTCGAAGGGTAAAAGGAACAAGTTTGATTATAAAGGAGCAGTATTTCAAAGTAGATCACAGGTATGGGGATGCAGTATACAAAGAGAGATATTAATGACAAATTTTCTTACCAAAATTATTACCCTCTGTCAAGATATAAATTACTAATTTCTAAGAACCACAATTTATGTATTTTGCCATCTGAACTAAGACGCATTAAAAAACAATCTGGAGACCATTGAAGAAACTTATCCCCCTCTTAATCTTAGAGAAACAGATATATCGGCCACGTGAAAATTTTTGCAGATTAATATAAACACAAACTCCATATTCTCCCTACATCAAAGGTCATTATGAACACTGAATTCACGTAGAGATCCAAACAATTTGCAGAAACCTTATAAAAAATCTCTAAGATGTTTGTTACTACTACAACGATTGAAAAAAGCATACACACACCGTGTTCATTTATCACAAGGACATAAGCAAATTCAGCACATAAGTTGCTGCTGCTTGAGATATGAAATGGTAAACGATTTATGAGAATAGAAGGTAAAAGAGAGTTCTCTTACTGCGGTGTATTGGGTTGGCTGGCAGCTCGCACTAGTTGCTGAAACATTTTCCTCTCATTGATAGGATCCATTCCTAAAAGCACAAATGTACACAATGGTTTCTTGCATCCAGAACACTGAGAATAACATATACCGTAAATGAATAACTGACCTTGATTTATTTCATCCACCACTCTAAATGGGCAATTTGTTAGGTCTTGCAGAGAAACTAGGTAAAGAATGGTTGAAACAGACCGTTCCTGAAAGGATATTATATTATAAAGTTGATTACAGCAATCCAACTCGCAGATCGAAAAAGTGGTTTAAGTGACATACTCCTCCAGATTGGTGGTGGGCACTTAGAACTTGGAGTTGTCCGGTCTCCCTGGTAATAAGGATACAAGAACCAGTGTAAGCAAGCCATGGAGAGCAAAAAATATATAAACAAATACAGAACAAAAACAGAAGGCGGACCATTCCAGTTTACCATAGTTAGGACAGTATAGTACAAATATAGGATGACACACACCTACAGGTAGGCTTTCCAAAAATAAGCCTCCTCATGAATGTGGAAGATTTGCACAACTACATGCAGTAAAAGAATAAATTTCCTCTACAGATATTCAATGCATTTTGGGTATGGTACTGACCAATTTAAAAGTTCCAAACAGGGAAGTAAATCACTCTGTTCTTTTTCTTTTCTTCACCTCTAGTACAACAGCCTGCTCAATGCCAGTGGAAAGCTATGGCACTGGATGTCTATGCAGAGTTGCAAGCATTGCTTGTAAATAAGGTAAGGAGCAAATAACTACCAAAGGTGGATATGAGCCAGCACAAACACGGGTCTATGATCTAAAATTAAAGGGGGAGTTGGGAGGGGGGAGGGGGGGG